ATAGCTGAGGCACTAGCATAGTTAAATGTGCAGTATGTTGTAAAAGCTTCCATGTGGGATCTCACTGACTAGAGACTTTTTGTAAAGAAAACTTAGAAAGAGAAACTTTCCTAATGAATAAATTTGTGATACGGGGTTCACATCCTCACTAAAAACCTTTAGGGGATTTGATCTCAAAGAGGTTGGAAACCACAGCTCTTCACTCCATGTTATACATCCATGGTGTAGCAATCTCAAAGGGACCATGTACATAGAATTTGTCCCTGTGGCTCTTCTTTTGTAAGCTTTAGGGATTTCACAGCATGCTAAAACCCCAGAAATTTGCTATCCCTTTCCAAGCCAGACAATGGGTCTGTGGCCTCACCAACAATGTACTACTGCAGAAGCGCTGGCTAAAGCCCATCTCCATATTCAATTTGGAAGTGCTGAATCCTGTTGCTTTGTTTTTTATTCTAATGTTTATATCCTTTTCACACTGCTTTCCTTATGACTGGTTTTTATTTGGCCCTCGAGCTTAACATTTGGAACTTCTATTGCATGATTTTGTTGGGTTGTTTTTTCTCTTTTTTAGCTTCTCAGAGAATAATGTTGATTGTTGCAATAAGCATCTTTCTTTCGTGTTTCATTTCATTTTCTATTCTATATAAGTTCTTACCCAGTAGCTCATCAAAACGACTGAATCAATTAAAGCAACCAAGTAACTAACATCTGCTATGTGTTTGCTGCCTCTGTAAGGCTCTCCTAGAGCAAGAAATGTGTGCTTTGGAATGGTTAGCGGTTTATTATGTTATATATGAATACTGGTTTACAGAAGGCCAGATCAGAGAGGTTTTGATGATGTTCTTGAAGTGGAGAGCTGCAAAGTTTATTTGCTCTGTATTCTTAGGAGGATCATGATGCAGGCTTTCCTCCAGGAAAGCACTGTTTGGAGCACAGTTTTATCCTTGGGCAAAAAGATGAGTGAGTAAAGGACTCCCTTGAGTAGAGAGCATGTTGTGCTGGGAGAGAAGTTACCACTTGTGGTCTTTGCCCCAGGGCTGGTTGGGGCAAAAACTTGCTTTCTTTTTGTAATAGTTACCACTCACTCCCGATAATTTTAAATCTTGCCTGTTTTTTGTAGCAGTAGCTTACACTCTAGTGCTCTCCTCTGAATGAATTGCTGAAAGTGGAGTTTTACTCTCTGAAATTAATCAGTGAATAGAGCCAGCATGGTGTTGAATCTACTTTGACCTCCAGTTATCCCAGACCCTGAGAAATTTTAGGAGGAATTTATACTGATGTAAAATCACAACTTGGCTCTTGATCCTGATTGGAGCTAATTATCAGCTGATAATATCCTTCTGCCCTTCGTCTCTGAGTGGAAATCAGTGCTTTTATTTTATGTCTTAATCATTTGTAAAAGCTGAGCCTTGGGAAGCACTTGGAGCAACTGTGTTTTACACTCATTCTGTTAGCTAGTAAATACCTGTCTTCAAACTACATTTTAAGTTGTAAAATCACTTTTATGTACCTAGTTTATCGTCCTGTAAAAACTGGCTGCTCTCCGTCTTGCTTAGTTGGAAAGCAGTGTGTCTCATACATTTTTTTTTCAAGAACTTTATTTTAGCATGATAGTCTATGCATACAGTAGAATTTATGATGTTTCCAACTAATCTGGATTTAAGAAAAATGTTTACAGGGGCTTGCAGTGTGGTTAAAAAAAAAAAAAAAAGTGCTGTTTTTCAGTTTTCAAAATGACTTTCACTACAGAAATAAAGATTATTCTGAATACAAAAATGATTTTTCAGAATTAATTGACAGAGTAGATATTTAGCTGCAGCATCTTATGTGCCTGGTTTTTGAAGTCCTATAGGTGTCAGTAGTTGTTACATACAAGAGGAATATCACGAGGTTTGCAGTAGCTTTGGTTTGACTGACACCTGTGAACAAGTATTAGGAAATACAGGCTTGTAGGATTAGACTCCACGCTCCTACTTACATAAGGAAATTGTGGAAAAAAATACAATGAAAGTACTGGAAAGAGAGAACAGTTCTGAACAGATCTCTAACAGTGCTTGTGGCAGTCCTAAAAACAAACCCTTGCATGTGAAGATGCTAAAGGTGAAGGGAATGAGTAGGTCGTAGCTTGGAATATCCTTTGGAACCTTCCTCTAAACACAACCTTGAATCTGTCTTAAATCATTCTTTGAAATGCTGCCATTGTGAGATCCTGGTGATCTATTTTCTCTGCTATTCCTCTGTCTGGAAGGCACTGGAGTGACAAGAAGACAAAAAAAGCCCTTTCCTTCATGGATGTTGCAGGGATCATACAATCACCAAGGTTGGAAAACACCTCCAAGATCATTCAGTGCAACCCTCCACCTATTACTAGTATTTCCCAATAAACCATCTCCCTTACTACCACATCCAAACATTTCTTGAACACCTCCAGGGATGGTGACTCCACCGCCTCCCTGGGCAGCCCATTCCAGCACCTGACCACTATCAGAGAAGAAGAATGGATTTGCTGCTCCCCGAAATAACCAGTGTTCACTGTCCACCACAGAGAAAAAGAAATCATTGCATTTTACAGGTACTGCAAGATAGTCTTTGTTGGAGAGATTCAAATTCTGGTTGATAAGACTCTTCTAGTCACTTTTATTTCTTTCTCTCTCAGAATGATCTAAATCTCAATTTCCTTCTTCTGTTGGCATTTAGTAGAAAGTTTGGATCCAGTTTTGTTGAGTTTTCCCATTTCTCTCTTTTGCTATAATCAAAATATGATAAGGCCCACATTGCACATGAAACTTGACCCTACAATGAGACAAGGTGCTATTACCTTAATATAGGTCCTTCTACTGTAGGCTGGAAAAATTCTGTAGTTCTGTGGAACCTTTCCTCCAAGGCAAGCAGTCTTTTTGGATCCTCTTATGTGGTATGACAGACTTAGGATCACTGGAGAGTGGCTCCATCTCCATAATGCATCCAGTTCAAAGTCTTTTTTTTTTTTTAATGTAAGAGAGAAGTCAGTTTTGCACTAGATGGAAATGCCTATGAAATTGCAAAGCAAATTACTTTGGGTGACTGACAGGGCTGGGCTGGCAGTGGTGTAGATGCAGACTTATCCCTGTTCAGGCTAGTCACAGTTCATTCATACCAAGAGGACAGGTCATCTCAGTCAAGCCTTCACCACAAGACTCCATTATTTCATCTTTTATGTAGAGGTACAGCAATAATCAGTAAAGATATCTGCATGATATCTTTACAGATTGATGCAGTAGGCAAAGGAACTCATCTATTAAGACAAGTACCCAAGGCAGAATGAACGTTAAATTCTTTTGGCTGACTAAATAAAGGTTGTAGATTTTTTTTTTTTCCCCTTCTTGATTCCTACTTGTTCTGGTGGTATGAGGTGGGACTCGTCCTTGAGATCTGGTGTCTGAACCATCCACCTTCACACTTACTAAAGACCAGGAGTGATTTCTATTTGAAGAAAGTGCCCAGGTTTCTTTAACATAGAGAAGCATTGATGTTCCTTTTTAATGTTTATGTACAGTGCGGTTGCAGACTTGGCTCACACACCATGAACAAGGAAATAGGTACAACCTTCCATAGATATAAATTTAATGACCTTCTTAACTGAGTCAGGAGACCTCGAGGAGCAGCAGAAAATATTCAGACTCAAATCAAAACAGATCTCAAATCTGAATAATAATTGAGACTAGTGCAGGAGACACTGAAAAATAGACAGGTATAGAAAATGCCAGTTCACTGAGTAGCTTTTCCAAGTCATTATAGAGCACCCAAACAATATTTTTGCATGATATGAATCCATCAGTTAGCACTGGAGGATTACAATGTTCTCTTGTCATAATTAAAATTAATTGTCTTCCCAATTAGATTGAAATAAATTAGATTATTACACATTAATTAATGTATAAATGTCAGAGTCAAAATTTTTTTATCTCCTGATGATCAGAAGTCATATACAATCCCATGACAAGTGTAAGACCTGCCAGTTGCCTGAAGACTATGGTTTCTTAACAGGAATGCAAGAACTAAACTCTTCTGGAGAATTTAATATGTTTTCTAGTAACTATAACTGCATTTTTAAAATGCTATCTGCAGATATTCATGTATGTGCTGAGGTAAATTTTTTGTAGAAGTTCTATCCATTCTATTATATTCTATATATAATATTCTATTCAGATATTGTTTCCAGAAATGACATTTCAGCACCAGCTTCCCAACATTACCATAGTGGCTGTATCCATACTGTGGCAGAATAGGAAGAGCTTCTGGAGCTGACCAAGGTTGTAAGATTTGGGACACTCCAGGTGGGTGAGAACACAGAGAACAAAATGCAGTGAGGGAGTGCAGACACCCAGATATGGGCAAGGCAAAACTCTGAAGTCAGGGATCAGGAAGCTTCAAATGCACGTTTGGTATGTGTTCACAAATACAGAATGCTCTTCTGTGGATGACTCCAGAAGGAAATGAATTGGTGTTACAACAGAAGTAATTGCAGTTCATGCTCATGTGGATAATGCTGAAAGTAGTGGATTATAAATTGCCAGCTCATTTAAATCAGTACAGCTCTACTGACACCATAATTGAGATGCCTGCTCTTAAGCTTTGCCCTAAGTGTTCTGATGGATTGTCAAGTTTTCTTTCTCTCAACCAAAGATTTCCAGCTGCACTGCAGTAAATCTATGAAGTATTGTCAATGTGATAGTAATGCAGAGACTGATTTACTAATAAATTAGGCATTCTTCTGCCACGCTAGAAAAGTTTGAAGAGTGCTAAACTTGAATCCATGGCTTTCAAATTTTGTAAAGCTGAGCTAAATCATCAAACTAAACCCACTTCTGTGAAATGCTTAATAATGGTATTCATAATTTTTGTTTTGTTCCGTTTTGTTTTGTTACAGAATTTCATAGTAGTTGGAGGTGGAAAAAAAGAATGTGTCACGAGAACAAAACTGAAGTAAATGATCTAATAATATTTTATGTTCTTTTTAGGTTCAATGTAATCTTATTGGGCACCAGCAGTGGAACTGTTCAAAATGGTTTATGGTGAATTTTTCCGCAGACCTGGCAAAGATGCAGAACTTATCAATTTGAATGTGGGTGGCTTTAAGCAATCAGTGGATCAAAGCACTTTGCTCCGATTTCCTCATACCAGACTTGGGAAACTTCTCAAATGCCATTCAGAAGAGGCTATTCTAGAACTATGTGATGATTATAGTGTTGCAGATAAGGAATACTATTTTGACAGGAATCCCTCCTTGTTCCAATATGTTCTGAACTTTTACTACACTGGCAAACTTCATGTCATGGAGGAACTTTGTGTCTTTTCCTTCTGCCAGGAAATAGAGTACTGGGGGATAAATGAGCTGTTTATTGATTCCTGTTGCAGCAATCGGTACCAGGAGAGGAAAGAAGAAGGTCCTGAAAAAGACTGGGATCAGAAAAGCAACGACAGAAGCTTTGACTCCTCCAATGAAGAATCATCCATATTTGATAAGGAGCTGGAAAAGTTTGATAATCTGTGCTTTGGTGAAATAAGAAAGAAGATCTGGGTCAGAATGGAAAATCCTGCATACTGCTTGTCTGCCAAGTTAATTGCCGTGTCCTCCTTGAGTGTTGTCCTGGCATCAATCGTGGCCATGTGCATTCACAGCATGCCCGAATTTCAAAGGCTGGATGCCAATGACAGAGAGATTGAAGACCCTGTGCTGGAAGCTGTGGAGATTGCATGCATCATCTGGTTCACTGCTGAGCTAGTGATCAGGCTCATCACGGCTCCAAGTCAAAAGAAGTTCTGGAAGAAACCATTGAATATCATTGATTTTGTCTCTATTATCCCATTTTATGCCACCTTGGCTGTGGACACAAAGGAAGAAGAAAGTGAAGACATTGAAAACATGGGGAAAGTGGTGCAGATCCTGCGGTTAATGAGGATATTTCGCATCCTGAAACTGGCCAGGCACTCTGTAGGACTGCGGTCTTTAGGTGCTACTTTGAGACATAGCTACCAGGAAGTTGGACTTCTCCTTTTGTTTTTGTCTGTTGGGATTTCTATTTTTTCAGTTCTTGTCTACTCAGTGGAGAAGGATGATGACTCTTCAGAACTGCACAGCATCCCCGTTTGCTGGTGGTGGGCAACCATCAGCATGACTACTGTTGGTTATGGGGACACTTACCCAGTCACACTTGCTGGAAAGCTGCTCGGCACCTTATGCATTATCTGTGGGATACTAGTGGTGGCACTTCCAATCACCATTATTTTCAATAAGTTCTCTAAGTACTACCAAAAGCAAAAAGATATTGACCCAGACCAATGCAACAATGATCGCAAAGAGAAATGTAATGATCTACCTTATTTTAACATTAGAGATATTTATGCAAAAAAGATGCACTCATTCATTTCAAGCCTTTCCTCAGTAGGAATCGTAGTCAGTGACCAAGATTCAACAGATGCCTCCAGCATCCAAGATATGGAGGATGTTTATCACACAGCTACTTTAGATAATGGTGCAGGAAAATGAGTGGAATCACTTTCTCTTTTCCTTATTTTTCTTTTCTGAGTCCTGGTAAACATGGACTTAAAGACTTCAGTGAATTTATTAAGTGCATTTAATTCTCAGGGTACTTAACTCTTAGCCATATTTGGACATTCTTTGCTCTGAGGATGCCATACAAGCTTCGTCGGTTATAGGAGGCTTTAAAATATGCCTCATGTGGTAGTTTGGTTTTTACACAACAAATGATATGTATTTTCTTTGAGGAAAAAAGTCAGGAAAACAGTTTTAAATGTGAGGTCATTGTTTCCTGCAGCAATATGATAGCTTACACAGAATCTTGCTGCTGTTCAAGTAGATGTATATTGCAAACACATAAAACCTATGGCACATCAGTGGAGTTTGTACTGAAAATATATCAGAAGAAAGAAGGAACTATCTACGTGTAAAGCTGTGCTCACTAACACATTCATGTAATCCTGGAATTGGGAACCAACTTGGGACAGAAAATGTATTGGTACATAGTGTTCTTAATCCATGGCAGCATAATATTTATGAATTTCTTTCCAAAAGCACAATGCATTCTTATTTTGTTAAAAAAAATAATCCCATTGTGCCTATATTTTTCCCAGTGTCCCACCTCTAGCATGGACAGGCTCTCAAATCTTGAAGGTTCTAAACCACGTGCACCAGGATGAAACTTGAGGCCTAAGGCCAGCCAGGAGCTTATTGTACCTTTTAGCCACCATCTCTGCCATTGCAAACCTGAGCTGTTTTAGTGCCTGGAGAGGATCCTGCTGTGGTTATGACTTCCTCGGAGGCTTTGTTTTGTGGGCACTGAAGTGAACTGCCATGGTGGACTTCAGAAGTTACTGCTGCGTGCTGTCAGCTCTGCTCCTTTGCTGGAGGAAGCTGCCTCAGTGGGTAACAGCAAACATGAGCAGCATCTTGCTGCACTGGTTCCCAGTCCAGGGCTTTAATGCCAAGCACTGGAGATGTGTGGAAATGCTCTCCTGTACTATGTATTTCCCATCAGCGGTAGGGTATGAACTGCATGTGGGAATGCATATGTTAACCTATCGCAGGTCATTTTCTGAAGCTCATCTGTTGGGGATGGCAGCCGTCCTGGCTTGTACTATGGGCTGGAGCAGTGCTCATGGCCTGGCAGAGCTCTGCAGCACTGTATGTTCCTCTTCTCTCCAGGGATTTCTTATGCAGCCAGCTAATCCTGCTGTGGTTCAGACTGCACTTTCCAGGGGTACGTGAAGGGAAAGCTGGCACTGAAAGCCCCCCAACCAAGGAATGCTTAAGAAACTTCGGAATCTCAGAAGTCAGTAATACTTCTGAACACTCTTTTTTTTTTTTTTTTTTGTAGTAGATGCTGGGCAGTGAAGAATCCAAGCTACTGTGATGTTGATGTTTTGCTTAAAGAAAGGCTTCACTGGTTTTTTGTTGTTATTATTATTTTTTTATATCATTTAATCTCTAATGGGCTGAATCCTGGTAGCCCTTAGTCAGTCTCTATGCAGGCAGATCAAACACAGTAGGAGCTGACTTCAAGACTGAATAAACCCAGGCGGGAGCCCATTTCTAGCCTCTGCAGAGTAGCTCAGAGGGCTGTTTTTTCAGGTGTGTATCAGGATTTCTGTTGTAAAGTACATTGAGTTGCACTGATACTTGCTGAGGCACAGAGCTCCAACCTCTTTGCAGGTCAGTGAAACAAAAGAGAACGGGATGGACTACCTATATCTTGAAAAGAGGTGTTCTTCAGGACGGTTGTGCATCAGTATAGTTGAGACTATATGTGAGACTTGGGACACTTTGAATTTTGGAGAAACTTCAGAATTTGGATTATTATTGGCTGAGTGTCTTAAGGGTATGTGATGCTTCACAGGTAATCAAAATTAATTCTTCCCATTGTAAATGCAGGAAAACCAAAAGGGAAAGTTAGCCTACATGTGTTTTGTTCTTAGCGAACAGTTAGCATTACAAAGATGCAATGATATAAAATAATAAATATGTATGTGCATATGAATGTAATAGGAACCAGCAGAATAACAATATAAAAATTGCTCTGTCCAAAGAAACTCTCTTGGTGTAATCCATATGTAGATCATGTTGTTGAAATTTAAAAGCAATGAAAAAATATTGTAATGCAACAAAAACAGCAAGAAATTTGTATTAAACAGCTGAAAAAACCTAGTATTGAAAAATCTCTTTTTGTATATTAAGCATTACACAGAAATGGTACTAAACAGTTATTTGTCATAAATTGAACTACCCTTGATCAGTCACATAAGGATGTGGCACAAAGTTTCTCTGCCTTTTTCCGGATAAATTGACCTTGCACTGCGGTGAGGCATGTCTTTTAGACTGTGTAATAGGAGGGAACCCTTGTGCCATGCAAAGTGCTATTTTGATATCTGTGTTTTTCAGAAAAGGCTTTGTTGTAATCTTTCTCCTTTCCCATAAATGAGAGCAGAGTGTGAGCTGAAAGGTGCTGCTCTCAAAGCAGAACGTCAAGTCCTATAATGTGCAATGGTACGAGAAAGTGACACAAATCTTGAGTACCATAAAAAGCAGATGAGAGTAAGTACAGAGATGCTGGGTGGTCTTTCTGCTGGTGGAAGTTTTACTAGAAGAATTTTCTATCAAAAACTGAACATAAGTGGGGACTTGTTTCCTATTAATGTCCATTTTTTTGTCTAGAGTTGCGTATTATCAAGAAATAGTATCAATGGAAGGCAGATTATCTTTAATGCTTTTGTTATTCCTGTACCTTTTTCCTGTATGCTTTTCTCTTTAAAAATGCTGCTTAAATTCTCTCCACCCAGCTGCTGTTTCAGATAAAAAAGCACAGAAGAGGTTATGTTCAGATACGTGTCCCATTTTGCATGGGAGGGAATTGCTGGTCTTTATTCAAAACAGCTTCCTGGCACATCATTAGTTTCTTTGTCTTGATGGCAAACACCGCCCTTTTGCTATTCAGTTTTTCCACAGCAGCATCCATTCTTGTGTAGTTCTGTCCCAAAGCAGTGTAGGAAGGTTTATGGCCCAGCATGCTCCAGCTCATGCTGGGAGCAGCTCTGCACTGCCACTGCTCTCTGGTGTGTATTATAGGAGCTGAAAGGCAGATGTGGAGGTGTAAGAAAAGAAAGCTTTCTTCTGAGTCCAGAAGGACATCTCTCATTCATCTGGCTGGCAGCAGGTAAAGCTTAGCTGAGGTGAAATGAGCAAACAGTCTTGCTGTTTATATTGGCACCCTTTTGGGTTGTGCTTTTTTTTTTTTTTTTTTTTGGAGAAAAAGTCACATAAATCAGTGTGGCATAAAACAGTGGCAGAGCCTAAACACCAGCTAAATAAATGATAGCACGTCTGTGCTAAGCAAAGTAACAAAATATATGCTACTTGTTAAGTATAATTAGTTTCAGGCACCATAATGCAAAATATTAACTATTTAAAAAATCAAAGAATGCTGAAAGTGTCAGGCAGGTCTGTCTGGTAAGAGCAACATGCGGTCTCGTCCGGGCTGGGATTTTGTGTATTAATGTATTTATTAATTTCCACACATCCTTAATGAGCAGAGTAAGTGACAGAAACACTAAGCTGCAGAGAGCTTCTCTAATGTTTTTTGATTAGCTGACAGTGTTTGTGAAGCTGCTAATACCTCTTCATCCACAAAAGGACAATTCTCAAACAAAATCAAAACAACCCTGTGCTAGAAGTGCAATTTGTGTTTGATAGCAGTAGCTCAGCTGCAGTCGGTAAATACTGCTGTCTGGTGCTCTATAGCTGCAGTGCTGCTGCTTGTATTGCTGAGATGTTTATGCTCTGTCAATCAGGAGACAGCAGATGCCATTAAGCCATCTCAGCACTTTCCCACTGCACCATAATTGCAGTATCTCTTCTAAGCATTCACGACTTGCTGAGACTTTTTTTTTTTTTTAATTTCTGTAAAGCTGTTGTTAATTTTTCATGATGGGCCTATGGTCCAAATATGATCTAGCAGAAGTCACTGTGTGCCTCTAGATAGAATCACAGAATATCCCAATTTGGAAAGGATCCCTAAGGATCCCTGAGTCCAACTCCCGGCTCCACAAACGACCATCCAAAAATCAGACCCTATGCCTGATAGTATTATCCAAATGCTCCTTAAACTTTGACAGCTCAGCCCTGGGGAGCCTGTTCCACTGCCTGTGCCAAGGTCTGGCAATCAGTGGATATTGCACCTGCACATTCATTCTTACTTTTTTGGTTTTGGGGTGCTAGTTTATTTCAGGCTTCTGAATGTCACACACAGAGACAGTCACAAAACAGGTACAAATGTGCTTTTCAGAGTTCTCCTTTGTATGCACACTAGAAGCACGTGTAGGAATGTCTGTCTCATTGAGTGACTGGAAGTGCTTGGTATAGGTTAAAAGATTTTGCTATTTACTTCCAATCTGGATGTTACCCTCCCACCCAGCTGAAAAAGGACAAACAGCAGTAATTCTTAGTTAAGGAGTAAAAAGCAAAGCTCCTTTGTCTGTTCAGTATAATTAGATTCAATATCAAACATGATTCCTTGAGGAAAAACCTACATGTCATTTCTTTTTAATTAATATATTGGAGAGGGAAATTTTTGCTTGAGATATCGGAAGCAATGCAGATTGAGGGCTCCTTCATCTGTGTACACATCGATTTTCCAAAACCTCATACACCAGTGGGACAGGGAGACTTTACAGGACCCCTGACAGGTCCAAACCTGCAGACCAAAGACCTGGTTGTGGAGGAGGTTGTGGAGCAGGGCTGGTTGTGGAGGAGAACTCATCTCTGGCCCTGGCTTAAACGCTGTGCTAGGAATGAGCTCATTAACTAATTCCGTGTTCTGCTGATTAAAAGCAGTAACACGTGGTGACTTACTGACGTAATCTGCTTTCACTGTTTCTTTAAGACTTTTCACAGAAGGACCAAAGAATGTGAATTGTAATGTAATAGCATTACAATGGTTTCATGTCTAGTTATTCTCTACTATTTAATAGCATATGTACTGAGTTTCCTAGTTATTTTATGACATGCATTGCTGTTTCCACTGCACGGCTTGTTATAACTAGCACACAACTGTGCTGGAAATTGTTATGGCCTGATTTAGTGTCATTGTTCTAGGAGCTCTTTTGAGTCAGCACAGGCAAGGGCACCCTGGGCCGCATTCGCTTCCCCCAACTTCAGCTATTGTGTGGCTGGTCCTTTGGGCTTCCTTTGCCAACAGACAAAAACAGACCTCTTCAGGACACAGCACATCTGGTGTGTTCAAAGGTCCTGACTGAAAATGGGAGAAATGTCTCTGTTGGATATGCAGTAAGAAAGCAAAGCAATGGCCTGAAGTTGTGTCTGAGGAGGTTTGGATTGTATATTAGGAAAAATTTCTTCTTAGAAGGAGTAGTGAGGCACTGGCACAGACTGCCCAGGGAGGTCACCATCCCTGGAGGCACTCAAGGACTGTGGAGACTTGGCACTGAGGGACATGGTTAGTGGGCATGGTGGAGATGGGTTGGGATTGGAGTAGATAATCTTACTGGTCTTTTCCAACCTTGATGATTTTATAACTCTATGATTCTATAAGGATATATGAATTTGTTAGGCTAGATGTCTGTCCTTTAGGTACTGAAAGGTAGATGCGGTGCATTCTAAACCACCGGACTATCTACCAGTGCTAGACCATCACTGATGCTGCTGTCCTCCTCTGAGCATTGTGTGTGTAGGATGGACTGTGCTTCTGATATAGATCTCTGAACCTGGGTGACACAGAGACAGACACAGGAATTTATGCTGAATTCTGAAAGCTGCTCAGTGTTAGCAGCTGGGTAAGCATTAATCCTGTGTAGCACTTCTGAAGCCAGCTTCCTCTGCAAGAATCTTTTCCCCAGAATCTTTGCTAGCTATCTGTTAGTCTGGAATAACCTGCAAGTTGAAGTTCAGCCTCCTGTAGTAATTAAAAAAATACACATAATAAAATACCAGAGGGAGCAAACTTGTGTTGGCAGAGGCAGGCACAATATGCTGACAGTACTTTTGCAACTCAAATTTGCATTATTTCTTGGCTTCCTGTAAGCTACATAAAATATTCTGACTGCACCATGTGTTATAAAGTCTATCCCTGTGCACTAATATAAATATAATAATGGAGCCAAATCCCAGTATTACAGCTGTGAAGCCAGAAAAAAAATTCTGACCTTGAAGAAACTGCTGAAATATTGCTTGGCTACAACTGCTAAGGTTGTAGCTGTCTCAGTGGTAGGGAAAACAAGGGGCTGTGCACAGATGTCGATAGGTGGGCCTCCCTTTCCTCCTTTGCGGATTCAGTTCTGAGCTCCTGGTGGTGCTGAGGGAGCTGTGTGGCACTGGGGACCACTCCTGAGGCTGTTAAGTTTGTGGTTATCTGTCCCTAGGAAGGGGTGGGTATCAGTCAGAGAATTAGGTCTGCATGAAATAAATAGCACTTTGGAAGGTGTAATATTATCACTGAATTCAATGTCTGTCCTCCACACCCTCCTCCCCATACCCCTAAGAAGCAACCTGGGAGAGAAAGCAGAAATGAGGGAGAAGCTCAGGGCACTAGTATTTAGTTGCAGCCATTTGGAGGCTGCTATTTGTTGTCTAATCCAAGTGCTTTTGGGGAGTCACAGGTAAAGGTTTGTACACAGAGTTAAAGACATTCCATTAGCTGCAAGAATATATTTTGTGTTGCAGGGACAGTAATTCTCAAGGGTAGTTTCTGGGTGTGATGCTGTATCTGCTTTTCATGCTGACTGGAGTTTGTATTGTTCTGAAGTGTTAACATGTGGGTTGATGGTTGGATCAGATGATCTTACTGGTCTTTCCAACCTTAATGATTCTGTGATTCTATGATTCTACGTGCTATAAATCATCACTGCAGATTCTACCTCATTTCATAGAAACCTAGAAACTGTGAGCATGAGGGGGTTCCATCAGTTTCTCTCGTCCAGCATTACTTTTGACAGCACAAATAATGTGTATTTCAGTGAATGGTGATAGAACAAGAGGAAATGGTTTCAAGCTAAAAAAGGGGAGATTTAGACAGGATATAAGGAAGAAGTTTTTAAAGTAAGGGTAGTGAGACACTGGCACAGGTTGCCCAGAGGTGTGGTGGATGCCCTATC